CTTTCATTCACGTCTTTATCCGCAGTTCAAATATATGACTTTCTTATATTCTTAACCGTTTATTCATCACTTCTTGGGTTTATTTGGAACCAACATCAAATCCCGTACAGGCCTGAATTTTTTTAGGCCTTATTTTCACTACTGCCCAAGTAGTGCACATCACTGCAAGGATCACTTTCATTCACATCTTTATCTGCAGTTCAAATATGTGACTTTCATATATTCTTAACCGTTTAACACTCAAACATGTTAACAATATGTTTATAACTCTGTGAAACAACTTTAATCATAACTGGTTAGTTACCAGTACATCATAGCCTTTTTGTTTATTGTTTACTGTTTCCTTTTGTTTAACTCAATAATTTAAGTGTTCTGTAATGATAAGAGAGCCACCAATAATGACTGTATTCTCTCCCTTCCTGTAACTTTGTTGGTGCTTTTTCTCAAAGCATGGATAAATTGTTAGCGTGTATTTGTCAAGTGCACATTCAACTTTACACTGACACATTCGCTAAGTGAGTTTCTGAACTCAGAATTTCAAGGAAAAAACTTACTTTCATTTCTTTCTAAATTTCAATCTCTGACTGGCAGATGAACTGGTAACTTAACATATTCTGTACTCACAGAATTAAACAAATTATCCTAAAATTTGATAAATTCTCCCCGTAAATACAGAAGTAATTAGTTGGGTTTCAGTAGCATGATTTGCTTCAAGTTAGCATACATCTTGTGCAAAACTCAAAATTGTGACGCAATCATTGCCTGTAACAAAATGGAAAAGGAAAAGGAAGGTGATAAGTTTCTCATGCGTCCACTGGTCAAGTCCTTACTTGCCTTCTAATAAGCGTTACGGTGTCACAACTACTATAATGTCATCAGAACATTTACGAGCATAAAAAGGTTGCGAAATTTTTTTACTTTTTCATCACATGGACATGATTATTTGCACGTTCACCAGAGATGAATTGACAGTCTTTACAAAAGATAATGGTCATTTGATCACTTTCGGGCACTGATAAAGAGTGAAAACGGTGTGGCAATTTCAGTCAATGATTTCTGTCAGCGATTTCTGTAGAATTGTAAGCAATTGGGTACGTTTCCATTGCTGTGTTAACCACAGAGTATTCAATATATTTTTAAGATGAAATACATTGCATGCAACTGATATTTTTGCTGCAAAATTACAACAGATAGCATCCAATTTATGGTGAAACATTGCTGCTCTTAAAGCAGAAATTTCCCATCTATTGTTGTCTGTTTTATTTG